AGAAGACAATATGAGAACAGTGGAAACACAAGGAAAAATGACCCAAATTGATAAGAAGCTAATCAGGTAGGAAGGTATCATCCTTTTTTATACTCTCATTCACATATTAGACACACAGTGAACATGTGTGATTGAATGTCATTGAAGGCCCCCTGGTGGTGGTGTCAATCATGGAAGTGGTAGTGGGTACAGGAGTATTCAGACAGTGGTGACTTTATTTGAAGGAAGTCTTTCCTCTCAGATTCTCAGAAGGGCACAGCCATGGAGGCAAGTCTGTCCTGTCAGCCATGTGTAGTGGGAAAGCCCTCTGGATTCTTTTAGTCCTCTTACTATAAATTACTCACTTGATTTAGGGAGTGAGTAGAAAAGAGTAAACTATTAAGCAGGTCTCTCATGGTTCTGCCTTGGCAACAGCATTTCCCACACCATAGACTGACAGCTGCTCAAACCACTCTAGTCTCACAAACAGAGGCTTATCCTAGTGTGACTGATCAGGACAAAATGAAATCCCCAGGATGACAGAGTAGCAAAATGTCATGAATCAGATGCAAGCAGTTTCCCTCTCGGCACAACCACACGCCATAAGAAGAAATGTATCCCTCTTCAAAACTGAGCTCATCTCTCAAACACAATAGCAAGGCAGGCTCTGTCCTTCCAAAGAACTTGGCTTTGCTTAGCTCATGGCTCTGAGAGTAGAGCTGAGACATTCTCACCATCTGAATGTCCTGAACAGATGTAAGGCTAGCCCAGGAATATGGCAGAGAGACCTATTTCTGTTTTTCTCTGTATCCTTGGTATGTGGATCAAATGAGGTTTTCCTGCTAGTTGAGTATTCAGAACACCAAGTGTCATTTGTTTCAGAACAGTGCTTGGTGTGTTTCCCATCTTAATGATCACACTGACACTTCATTTATGGCTCAAATTTCCTGAGCCTTGGCTTTATTATTCTGGTGAGATAAATTAACTGAGATTTTTGTTGTTAGTTGCCATCAAGTCAGCTCCAACCATGGTGACCTCATGTAGAACAGAAGAAAAAGTTGATAGTCCCATATCACCTTCATGACCATTGGTATGCTTGACTTAGTTGTTTGTGGTCACTATGCAGTTTGAGTATCTTCCAACCTAGGGGGGCTCCTCTTCCAGCCCTGCATCAGAAAATAGGAGCTCTGGTAGCATAGTGCCTAGGGCACTTGACTGCTAACCAGAAGGCTGGTGGCTCAAACCCACCAGCCACTCCTAGAAAGGAAGGTTGGGCAATCTACTTCCGTAGTGATACTGCCTCGGAAACCCAAGGAGGGGTCTGACTCTCTGACTCGACAGCACATAACAACAACAACAACAATATATCAGACAATATTCTGTTGTGGTCCATACAGTTGTCTTTGGCTGATTTTTGGAAGTAAATCACTAAGCCCTTCTTCCTATCTACCTTATTGTGAAACCTCCACTAAAATCTATCTCCATGAGTGGTACTGCTATTATTTGTAATACTGGTGACATAGCTTCCTAGCAACATGGACGCCACCACAGTGTAACAAATGGACAGACAGGTGATGGAAACTGAGATTAGAGAGGTTAAATGAGTAGCTCATAGTGGTGACTCTAACAGGCCACAGACCCTGGTTTTCTAAATTCATATCTTCTCCACAAAATCTTGTATATTACTGTATTCCCCATTGGACTGGCAAGAGGGGAAAAAATAAACAGCCTCCTTAAATACTTTGTTCTAATATTTAATTGTTCATAAATCCAAAGAGACTCCTTTAACTAAATTCTATTCATGTAATTGAAGCCCTTGTCCTTTCATTGAGTTCTTTACAGAGGAGGAACTAATGTGTGCCACTACCTCATTGTGATAGTCCTTAAAATACCTGTGAAATTCCTCCTTATCCTTCTTTGGTTCAGGAGGGAACAAATAAACTTCTCTAATTTTTCCTGCTAATTCTCATATCTGCTCATTTCCCCATCTCCATACCTACTACAAATGTTTCCAATTATTATTATTATTATTATTGTAACTTAGAGGAAAAATTAAAATAGTTACATTACTTAACCTAGAAGGTGTTGTTAGTTGCTTTCAAGTCAGCTTCAGCTCACAGCACCTTTATGTATAATAAAAGAAAATGTTGCCCAGTCCTGCATCATCTTTATGATCACTGGCATGTCTGAATTCATTAGTGTGTAGTCCTTTCCGACTTATGGTGTTCATTTTCCAACATTAATCAGACTGTTGTGATTTATAAGGTTTTCATTGGCTAATTTTCAGAAGTAGAACTCCAGGCCTCTATTCCTAGTTCATATTAGTCTGGAAGCTCTGATGAAACTTGTGTCCTATGGGTAGGCCTACTGGTATTTGAAATACTGGTTGCATAGTTTGCAGCACCACAGTAACCCAGAAGCCACGACAATAAGACAAACAGGCATACAGGTGGTAGAGTATAGAAGTTAAGGCCTTTTTTTTTTTTTTTTTGTAAAACCTACCCACCCCTCCAATATTCCAATCTAAGTTCTCATTCACTACTCCCTTTCCCCGGGCGGACTGCATCTACTTCTCATTGTGTATATCTTTGTGCCCCTACACTCTGCCTGGTATTTCTGCAAACTTTCCTTAACACTGGAATGGATATTGGCTTGCCCATCTCATACTAAAGCTCTTTTACAGTGTAGAATGACAGTATGTTTCTCACTCAGGAAGAGAAGGAGGTTTCCAGGTTCTCTTGCACAGTACTAAATCATATCAAGATATGTTGTTGGTGGTGTCATCAAGTCAGTTCAGACTCATAGCAATGCTATGTACAACAGAGTGAGACACTGCCAGTCCTGCACCATCCTCACAATCATGCCTATGGTTGAGCTCATAGTTGCAGCCAATGTGTCAGTCGATCTCATTGTGGATCTTCCTCTCTTTTGCTGACCATTTACTAGTCCAAGCATGGTATCCTTTTCCAGAGACTGGTTCATCCTGACAACATGACCAAAGTATGAGAGACAAAGTCTTGTCATCTTTCCTTCTAAGATGCATTCTGGCTGTACTTCTTCCAAGACAGATTTGTTTGTTCTTTTGGAAGTCCATGGTATATTTAATATTCTTTGCCAACACCATAATTCAAAAGCATAAATTCTTCTTCAGTCTTCCTTATTCATTGTCCACCTTTTGCATGCATACTATGGTTGGCATCAGGCACACTTCAGTCTTCAAAGTGACGTCTTTGCTCTTTGACATTTTAAAGAGGTCTTTTGCAGCAGATTTACTGAAAACAATATGTCATTTGCTTTCTTTACTGCTGCTTCCATGGGTATTGATTGTGGCTCCAAATAAAATGAAATCCTTGACAACTTCAATCTTTTCTCCATGTATCATGATTTTGCTATTTGTCCTCAAAATTTACATATTTTTTACATCATCTATGGGCACTTTTTTATTTTAATTGTGTTTTGTGTGAAGATTTACAGAGCAGATTCACTTTCTATACAGCAGTTCACATACACTTTGTCTCGTGACATTGACCACAGTTTACCACAATGCAGCAGCTCCCCTCCCACTTCCTCCCCATAGTTACCCCTTCCCAGTGTCCATCCCTCCATGGGCTCCTGCCCCCTGAGCTGTCTCCCTGTGCATAAGCAGCCCTTCTTTCTCCCATGCTTGTTGTCTCCAAGGAGTGTGTCTACCTCAGGTAAATGTTCAACTCATGTGCCTGTCTTTTATTTGGCTGGAAACCACAGGTGTGGGTTTGATTCCAGACCTGAAGGGCAGCTACGGGCCATAGTCTCGGTGGTTCCACCAGGCTCTATTGACCAGCAAACCTGGTAACCCCCCCTTTTTTTTTTCTCCCAATGATTTTGAATTTTGTTCCACATTGTTAAAATATGAATTATTCCACAAATAAAATGAATTGAAAAATGTTTCATATTTTTCTATGTCCTAGAGAAGTTTAGGTAACAAAATAATATTTCCATTCCTTCAAAATTTGATGGGTGCTACCTACAAAGCTATTTTATACTGGCACTTTTGAGGGTGAGGGTAGGAAGGAAAGAAGGGGCTTCAAATATCTTCCATGTTTCATCTATGGTTATTAGTCTAGTGTAACATGTTACCTTGTCTTCTGCCAATTTTGGCAGTTAGTATTTTTCTAGAAATCACCAAGAGAGAAGTTGCAGTTATAATTCCAATCTCAAGGATAAGGCTTTATTTAAAGACTATAATGCCATCATGAAGTGGAGTTTACACCAGGAATAAAAGTGAATCCAACATAAAGATATTTATAAATGTTTTTTCTTCTTATCAATGAGTCAAAGGACAGAATGCTTATAGTTCTTGCAATATGTTTCAAGAAGAAATAATCTAATATTAATATTAGCAACATCTCTTTCTTATAAAGCTTGGAATTAGAAAGTAATACCTCATTATTGATACATATATATCTATTCTATAACTATATAATCTATATCTTCTTTATCTACATCTATCTATATCATCTGTATCTATATAAAGCCAAACTCACTGCCCTTGAGTGGATTCAACCCCTCCTTGGGTTTCCGAGGTGGTACCTGTATGGGAGTAGATTGCCCAACCTTCCTTCCAAGGAGTGGCTGGTGGATTTGAACTGCCAGCCTTCTGGTTGGCAGTCAAATGACTTAGGCATTACGTTACCAGGGTTCCCAGATATGGGATTTGGCAATCTACTTCCATCATGATACCGCCTCAGAAACCCAAGGAGGGATCACTATGAATTGGATTATATATTAATATAAAACCATCTATATCCATATCCATATCTATCTATATCTATATTTATATCTATATCTATAGATGTGATTATATACACATATATAATATACATATGGCATCCTCAGGACCAGGCAGCATTTCCATGGCTGTGTATGGAGTGGCAATGAGTTAAGGGGGAGGCTGATTCAATGGCAGCTCCCAACAACAACTATGCAAATCAGGGAATGTCACTCATTGATCAGTCTCTAACATGCCTTTTTCCTTTTCTCAGGGACCTGATGCCAAGAACCCTGGACGGGCAGATCACTATGGAGAAGACACCCAGTTACTTTGTCACGCGGGAGGCGCCGGCACGGATCTCCGCAATGTCCAAGAACACCAAGCTCATCGTGGTGGTGCGTGATCCTGTGACCAGAGCCATCTCAGACTACACTCAGACGCTCTCCAAGCGGCCTGACATCCCCACCTTCGAAAGCCTGACGTTCAGAAACCAGACGACTGGCCTCATCGACACGTCGTGGAGCGCCATCCAGATCGGCCTCTATGCCAAGCACCTGGAGCACTGGCTGCTGCACTTTCCCCTGCGCCAGATGCTCTTCGTGAGTGGGGAGCGGCTTATCCGAGACCCCGCAGGCGAACTGGGGCGCGTGCAGGACTTCCTGGGCCTGAAGAGGATCATCACTGACAAGCACTTCTACTTCAACAAGACCAAGGGCTTCCCCTGCCTCAAGAAGGCCGAGGGCAGCAGCAAACCCCACTGCCTGGGCAAGACCAAGGGCAGGACCCACCCTGAGATCGACCAAGAGGTGGTGCAGAGACTGCGGGACTTCTACAGGCCCTTCAACCTCAAGTTCTACCAGATGACTGGGCACGACTTTGGCTGGGATGGATAACAATATAATTTAAAAAGAAAAGTATTGAAATATAATATATTTTTTTACGAGTTCGTAGAGAAGAGGAGGTTTAATATTTGTGCTGAGAATATTTGTTTCAGTATTTCTTTTTTTTTCTGATGAACGTTAAGAGATTGCTCTCACCCATGCCCCCATCTTAATGTATAACCAACACCAAATATTTGGATAAAAAAATGAAAATTTCACTCATCTAAATGCCTTCAATTCACAGTGTTTATTTTACCTTTTATACACACAATCATAAAGGATAAGGATTAAAAGTTTTAAAAAATCCTGAGGATAAATTTCTCTCTCTCTTTTTTAAGTCCCTTATAAAATTGATACCTATCTATCCTTATGGGTTTCCCCCTTTATTTTTTTTCCTGTGCCCCTTTCCTAAACCATTTCCCACACAATGACACTGTACTGTATGTTTGTATCTCATTTCACAGTTTTCACAATAATTTCAAATCCATCTTTTTTTATTCTTATGTGGCTTACGAAAATAGGTATTATTATCCCCATTTTACATATAAGAAAATTGAGTCACAGTCGGGTTAAATGATTTATCTTAAAGACAGATAGTGGTCTCTGGCAAAATCCCATCTTCCACTTGTTCCTTATTTCATGCCACTCTTTCTGGTGAGAACGGGAAATAAAGGCATCTTCTTTAGAACTGGTTGCTTGGTTTTAAAATGATCTAAGTAAGACATGACAGAGAGGGTTTCTACTGTTTTGTAAGTTCCAGTCTCATTACTCAGTAGAGATTGTGCTCAAGGAAACCACTCTGATCTGGGCACAATAACTTTTAAGGTCCAATCTTAGAAAATTAAAATACACTGTGATATGGAGGTCTCAGCTTGACTGAACTTGAGAGAAATTATGAAATTCTTGTATTGGGAACAAGATAGACAGCCCTACTAGGAACAGGACAGGATGTGGTAAGAGCATAATTTACCCATTTGTTGATATGACTGTCATTTTTTAAAAAAGAAAAACCAGTATCAGTAAGCACTTAGGAGTGTAAGCCTCATTTTCCTTTATGTCTTTTTAAAGAAAGAACATCTGCCTTTCTTTGTATCTGTTTCTGACCTTGAAGATATCAAGAAATATCAATTAACAATTCATTTATACTACTTTCTTTTTCATGGATAGAGAACTCTCGCTTTGTCACTTATGTTTTTTCCCCACTCCCTACTCATGCTGGTTATAACCTAATGTTCATTAATATTTTTATAATATTATAAGAAATATCAATTTGGGTAAAATGATAGTTAATCTTCTTCTCCTGTGTGTTCCTTCCCATCCCCCATTTAAATTGCTCAAATAAATCAATAGTTTATTAAGAGTATTCCTTTCCTCTCAGAGTGGGCTTTAACAAGATTAGCATTAATGAGAATTAAATTGGTTTAGAGAGAAGCACATATGCACAAAGTATATAAAACATTTACAATTAGTCTGTCAACAGCATTTTCTTACAGGTTCAAACCCAAGAAGAAAATGTCTCCCATCTCAAGGAAGTTTCTTATATCTTCCAAAATTTAAAGAACTAGACACTCTAGAACTCAAAAACAATATTCCTTTTTTTTTTCCCAATGTTGTTGGTAGGAAGAAACTAAAGTTATTTAAAAATATGCCTTACAAGTGTGCACTTACCATAGATGCTATAGCCTGGAATGCATGCATTTCTTAAGAACATCAATGCATCAGGAAGAAAATAAAGGGAAAAAAACTCTTTAACATTTCTAGATATTTTGCCATTGCTCCAATTTATTTATTTATTAATATTCCATTTAACAGAATCAAATATACCTCAACTTCAGGTTGCCTTTTTTTCCAATTCATTTCATCACTCCATTCCTTCAATTCTCCAGTGCTGCAGCCCTGTTTTTGCTATTTGAATCATCACTAGCAATGACAAAATTCATTTTAAATTCTTGTCATCTTCTCTCTTAACTAATTTATTTGTGTTTCTGTTTCTTTTATAAGCATTTACTTGATATTATGTAAAAGGGGCTTATGCACCAAAGCAAGCATGTCTAACAATTTTGTTCTGCAACCTTAGTCTTTTGTGTGGGAGAAAAAATAAAAGAATAGAATTGAGTACCAAGTACCTCTTCTTACACATAGATATTTTTGTTCATATTATTTTAAACATTAATGACTACATCAGCTCTCTAGGAAAACTTTCTCACTTCTAAGACTTCATAATACTGCTAGAAGTTACAGATCCCAATAAAATGTATAAAGACCTAAAGTCAGGATACCCTTAAGTTTCCTCTAGAACAAGAATTTTCCATTTCTACCTCTACATGACACTCATTTCTGCTGTGCTTGGTTTTGGCCTCAGATTTCTTTTCAACGTTACTATCCATGTAGCTAAGGAGCTCTGGTGGTAGAATGGTTAAGGCATTTGGCTGCTAACCAAAAGGTTGGTGGTCCAAACCAACCAGCTGTTCCATAGAAGAAAGATGAACCAGTCTGCTTCCGTAAAGATTTACTGCCTTGGGAACCCAATAGGGGTCACTATGAGTCACAATCGGCTTGATGGCTATAGTTTTTTTTTTTTTTTTTTAATCCATGTAGCTGCTTCAAATAATAGGGTTTGCTCTTGATTTGAACATTTCAGCCATCTTTCCTCTAAGATGTCTCTTCCAAAGCTATACCTCCTGCACATCTTAACTCTTCTTAAAACCAGTTGCCATGGAATCTCAGTTGTGACTCATGTGACCCCATGTATCACATGTGATCCATAGAGTTTTCAATGTTTGATATTTTTTGGAAGTGGTTCTCCAGACTTTCTTCTGAGGTGGACTCTGAGTGCACCTCTGGGTGGACTCAAAACTCCAACTTTTAGGTTAGCAGCTGAACTTTTGTACTGTTTGCACTACTCAAAACTCCTAAGTCTTCTTAGAGGTCTCTCTAGAAGAATATCCAGAGATCTCCAGCTTCACCAACAGCTCTTTGCTTCCAAGACCATATATACAGTATAGAAATTATCCAGATTAGTAACTTTGAAGGAAAATTAATCACCAGAGACTAATAGGCTCCCTCAAAAAACACAACCCCTTTGCCATCAAGTCGTTTCCAACTCATAGTGACCCCATTGCATTTCCAAGGCTATAAATCTTTATGGAAGCAGATTCCTTCATCTTTCTTCCATGGAGTGGCAGGTGGGTTCTAACCAGCGATCTTTTGGTTAGTAGCCAAATGCTTTAACCACTATACCACCAGATCTCCTTAATAGGCTCCCAGAGAATGGATATTCCTAGAAGTATTATTCTTCTTCTAATTTTCCAAGAACCTTAATGTTATGCTAAACTTCAGTGGTAGGTAATTTGAATCAAATTTCCATTCAGCACGTGAATTCTTATTTTAGCTAGTTGTACAGAGCTTTAAAACATTGATATGTCTATAAATTTCATAAATACGATAGACTTTCCCTAAATATCCTCAATGTTCTCTGCCCCCAAGACCTGCTGAATCACCTGTTACCCAGAAAGATATCTTGAAATCAATCTGTAAATAAATAAATGTGTCCATACAATAAAATCTTATATAACAGATTATGCTTTCAAATGTATCATCTCACTGTAAACCAACTGAAGATCTCCACTCTCATTAGTTCCATTTTACAGATGAGAAAACTAATGCTTAAGATGGTAATTTGTAAGAGATGATTTTGTCCCCCAGGGTCATTTGGCAATGTCTGTAGACATTTTTAGTTGTCACAAAGTGGGTTGGGAGGAGGGAAAGGTCTAGAGGGTAGATACTAGGGATGTTGCTAAACATACTACAGTGCACAGCACTGCCTCCAAAGAATTTTCACACCCAAAATGTCATTAGTGCCAAGGTTCCTAGCTTAAGACGTGCATCAGTCACAGGTAATGTGTGTGTGTGAATCAGGTCTGAAAGCCAGATTCTAATAATACTTGACTGGTAATTTTTTCACTTTATCATTTAGGTTTTTCTCTTGAAAATGTCTTTCTCTAGCTGGTGACTCCATTATAGTCTGCATCAAAGTTTTCTTTGCCAGAAGAAGCACTAATGGGAAACATCAGTGAACTGGGCTTTTACAACTAAGACATAGAAGTATCTTGTAAGAAATGTTTAATTGCATTTCTGTGAAGTGGAATCTGTCAGCTTCAGGTGGAAAAGTAACATTCCAATATAACATCTTTAAAGGTTTTTCAAGTTTAAGTCTTGTATTTCAATTTGTTTTTGTGACAATGTCATGGCTATCTTGTCAGACACAACCAAATTGTCAAGAGATAGTAGAAGTAAATGCTTTCACTTCTTAAAAGCTAAATTCTGATGGATGTGTTGTGGTTAACAAGTATCCTCCATGCTGAATAATAATAAAGGAAAGCAATTTCTTACTGCAACATTTTCTAGAAACCTCAGAACTTTGTGCGTACCTCTGTAGAATCAGGTAAGAGAAGTTTATTATTCTCAAGCATAGTAAAATATGATGAAAATAATTGCTGAGATCCAATTGAATGCAAGCTTTGGTGTAGAAATAAAATTAAAAAAAACAAAGCAAAACAGTTGCCATCGAGTTGGCCCCAACTCACAGCAACCACATGCATATCAGTCAAGCTGCATTCCACAGAGTTTCAGTAGCTGACTTTTTGGAAGGAGATCACCTTATGAGGCCTTTCTTCTGAGGCACATTTGTGTGAACTCAAACCTCCAACCTTGTCATTAGCAGCTGAACGTGTTAACCATTTACACCACCCAGGGACTCTGTAGAATTGAACACTTTTCCTGTTCTCCTCTTTTTATCCAGTAATAACTGAAAAGTACCAAAACCAAAGCAAACTCATTGCTGTCAAGTCGGACCTGACTCATAGTGACTCCCTCCTTGGGTTCCAAGGCAGTATCACTCCGGAAGTAGGTTGCCCAACCTTCCTTCCGAGGAATGGCTGGTGGTTTGAACTGCCAGCCTTCTGGTTAGCAGTCAAGTCCCTTAAGCACTATGCCACCGGTAGTAGAAATTT